GGCATTTGTCAGGAGAAGGTCTTTGTGGGAAATCAGTTTCGGTGGAGTGAGGGTGGTAGCTGTCAGCCTCTGGGGTGAAAGAGGAAAGGGAATGGGAGAAATGTCAGGGTTCCGGCACTCTACTGAAAAGCTAATCCTCTAACATGTCATCCACTCTGTGTCCAGGACAGAGACAAAACATCACTTGGCATGCAAGCTTACCACCTCCCATCAAGCTAATTGACCCTCCCAGGCTCTTTCCTCCCGTCACCCTGGTTTCTAAGCTCTCCTCTGAAAAGGCTGGGTGCTTTTCTGCTTTTGCCTCCATCTGCTCAGGGGGTCTCTCATCTCTTACCTGAGAAACTTCTCTACTGAGCTTTCAAGCCCACTCAGATCCACACTGCCACAGAGACCCCATCCCCTGAACCCAGCATCCATTGTTCTCTCTTCTCTCCTTACCAGGCCACCCTCTACTTCTCTGCAGCAGAATCCTCTTGAGATTAAATCTGATGTTCTGGAACATGATCTTTAAAATTCACAGCACTTTCAGCTGTGCTTACGTCTCCACTGTTTTGTGAATGCGTCATGCCTCTTCTTGCCTCAGAGCTATTACTCATGTTGTTCTCTCTGCCTACACTGCCCCTCTCTTCCTGACAAGCAGCGTGGAACAGAGGAAAGGGTGGGATTCCACATAAGACCTGAGTTCAAGTTTCACTGTAATTTACTAAAATCTTGGGCAAGTTTCATAACCTTTCTGAACCTCAGTTGCTCATCAATAAAATGTAGGTGATAACACCTATTTTGCGAAAATGTTCTATGAAATATGATATGATACATATGAGAAAGGAAATGATATAATATGAGAAGTATCTACATATGGTAGGTCTTCAAAAAAAGGGTTTTTTTTAGTCATCCTTCAAGGCTCAGCTCTGTGACACCATCCCAACTGCCCCAGGTCGTCTCGGGGTAGAATGACCTGCTCTCTCTCTTTGGAATAGCATTTTTAAAAATTGTGGTTAAAAAACACATAAAATGTGAGGCAATAGTGGAAAGAACTCGGATTTGGGGTTTGAACAGATCTGATGCAAATCCAGTAAATCTGGGCACACTGAACTTAATCTCTTGGAGCATTGGTTATCTTAACTCTATAATGGGGGTGTTAATAAAGAAACCAGAAAGCTGTTGTTAAATGTGATAAGATATATGAAGTCTCTGGTTTATACATGTATCCTATGAATGTTAGCTACTTTCCTTTAAGCTATAGAGAAAAGTAGCTAACATCATACAGTGCTTGACACACAGTAGATATTTATTAAGTACTTGTTTTAGGTTGGTGGTTGGCAGAAGTGGTAGGGTGAAAGGCTGGCTTTTACACATGGGGCAGGAGGAGAGAGATGAGTGGGATAACTGAACCCTCCCTCCCCTTCGTGCTGATCTTTGCCAGGTATATAATGAGTTCATTCTGCCTTCGGAGCGAGCTGGATTCTTGAGCAGGATTCGGGAGATTATCCATCGAGTGGAGACCCTGCTGAAGAGAGATACTGGCCCTGTGGAGGCTGCTGAAGACCCTCTGAGCCCTCAGGTTAGACTCCTTGGGCACCTTATTCTCTGCTCAAGGCTTCATTACTCTCTGCCTCACTCTTGGCCTTGGATCTAACTCTTCTTCATTGCTGGAAACCTAAAACAGTGGCTCATAGCCTCTGATGAAAGCCTTGTTCTAGAAAAATGTGTTCAATGCATACTTTCCTTTTAACTTACTATTTTGAAGTAATTTCAGACTTACAGAAAGAAGTTGCAAGAATTGTATAAAGAACTAGATACTCTTAGCCTAGATTTGCTAATTGTTTTTGTCACATTAGCTTTTTCTTTTCCCCTTGTGTGTATATATTTTTTCTGAATCACTTAAGTTGTAGACATCATGTCCTTTACCTCTAAATATTTAAGCAAATACATTTCTGAATTCCTGAAATCCCTCTATGGACTCCTAGAGGTCCATGAGTCCTGGCTTACGAACCCTCATCTGACACCAAGTCTAGGCTCTTCCCCACTGTGACTGTGGGCCCCTTCTCTCCCCAGGAGGAGCCTGCACCATTGCCTGCTCTCCCAGGTCCCCTCCCCAACCCATCCAGTGGTATGTACTGAGTTCGGTTCCTGCTCTCCCCAAACCTTGGGTTGCTCCTGGGAAAGGTGCAGGGAATGGAGGATTGGAATCTCAACACACCCTCCTCTCTAGCAGAGTTCCAGAGTGGCACCTCTCTGGAGCATAGCGGCTGGACAGCCTTCTCCACTTCCCCATCGTCTTCTGGAACGCCCTTGTCTCCTGGAGACCCGTTTTCTCCTGGAACCCCTGTTTTCCCAAGTCCCATCTTCCCCATCACTTCTCCCCCATATCATCCCAGCCCCTCCCCATTTTCTCCAATTTCTTCCCAGGTTTCAAATCTCTCTCCACACCCCTCCAGCTCTCCACTCCCATTCTCCCCCAGTGCATCTCAGTTTCCAATCCCAGCCTCTCAGTTTCCACAGGGTTCTCTCCTCCCCAGTTCTCCACCTACCTTCTCTCCTAGTTGTCCTCAGGTCACTCTTGTGCCTCATTCTTTTCCTCCATGCTCCTCCTCCCCTTCTCCTCTCCCCTCCACCACAGCAGCCCCTCTCCTCTCTCTGGCTAGTGCCTTCTCACTGGCTGTGATGACTGTGGCCCAGTCCCTACTGGCCCCCTCGCCAGGGCTCCTTTCCCAGTCTCCTCCAGCTCCTCCTGGTCCCTTATCGAACCTACCCCCTCTCCCTCCCCTTGTTCCCTGTGGCCAGGAGAGGCCTTCGCCTTTGACAGCTGAGTTGGAGAGTGAGGTGAGTAGGAAAACAAGGGGGATGATTAAGGGGGCTCGATTCTGGGTAATGTCTCTCCTCATGGACCACACTTTGTAGGCCTCCCCAAATCCTGCTCGGCCTCTCCTGGGTGAAGCCAGACTGGCTCCTATCTCTGAAGGTGAGGCCTCCGACCACTTCCCCTGCCCATTATCCTCAGTCCATTTTATATCCTGCCACTGATTACTCTCCCTCCTTCCATGACTCCTTCCTTGTTTCTCCAGAGGGAAAGCCCCAGCTTGTTGGGCGTTTCCAAGTGACTTCATCCAAAGAACCAGCTGAGCCTCTTTCCCTGCCACCAACATCCCCAACTCTCTCCGATCCCCTGAAGCCTCCAACCCCTCAGCTAACCTCAGAAAGCTCAGACACGGAGGATAGTGCTGGAGACGAGCCAGAGGCCAGGGAGGCCCTGGCCGAGAGTGACCGTGCAGCCGAGGGCTTGGGAGCTGGAGTGGAGGAGGAAAGGGACAGTGGGAAAGAACCCCAAGTGGGGGACGGCTCCCCACTCCCGAGCCATCCCAGCCCGGTGTGGATAAACTACTCCTACAGCAGCCTTTGTCTGAGCAGTGAGGAGTCAGAGAGCAGTGGGGAGGACGAGGAATTCTGGGCTGAGCTGCAGTGTCTTCGGCAGAAGTGAGTCTGGGGAGGGTGGAGGACAGGAAGTGAACTTGGGAGAGCCACTTGTGTGGCTAGCTCCCTCATGCTCCTGGTGCATCCTCAGGCACTTGTCAGAGGTGGAGGCACTACAGACACTACAGAAAAAAGAAATCGAGGACTTGTACAGCCGGCTCGGGAAGCAGCCCCCACCGGGCATCGTGGCCCCCGCTGCAATGCTGTCCAGCCGCCAGCGCCGCCTCTCCAAGGGTAGCTTCCCCACCTCCCGACGCAACAGCCTGCAGCGTTCTGAGCCCCCAGGCCCTGGTGAGACTGCAGCTGCCAGATTCCCATCTTTCCAGGCCTCTTCCCTAGTGATGCAGCTTTCTTCCAGGCCCTGGGGGTCTGCCCTTGGTTTGGGGGGACTAGCCCCCTCCTCCTCTTCCCTCACTTAGTGCTCTCCCTCCCCATCCTACACCCAGGCATCATACGAAGGAACTCTCTGAGTGGCAGCAGCACCGGCTCCCAGGAGCAGCGGGCAAGCAAGGGGGTGACATTCGCCGGGGATGTTGGCAGGATGGTGAGGGCGGGCCCAAGGGAGGGAGTCCAGGGAATGGTATCTGGCTGTAGCTTCACTTTCCTCCCACCCCGGAGGTTTCTTCAGTGCTTTTTCTTTTCCCTCCAGTGAATTCAGAATAGAAGCCATGTGTCTGTCTCCCCCACGCCAGGACCCACCATGGAGCTTGAGCTCTCAGAATCTGCGAATCGGTACAACTCTTCAAGGAAGACCTCAGCACTGAGGGAGTAGGACAAAAGGGCGTGGAGCGTGCCATTTCATTATAGGGAAAAGCCAAACATGTGAGAACGATTTGCTGTGTGTAGAGAGAATCAATTCTGCAGCCTGCTACCTCCCCAGCCAAGACCCAACCACTAAGCAATCCCACCCAAATGCAGATGCTTTCACAGGGCACACTCCCAGCTGGGCAAGTGGACACCAGAATTAGCAGCAGCCAATAAAAATGCTGGAAAACTCAGACTCCAGATTTGTATCTGTCAGGCCTTAAGAACTGGGGGCAAAGGCCTACGGGGTTTGGGAGGACAGAAGGGACTCTCCTCTCACAAGAGGCGGCAGGGGTAGAAGCTGCCCAGCCTGCTGGCTTCCTGCCAGCAGTTCATGAGGAAACTGCCAAGTCAATGATCCGCCTCACCATCTAGATCCCACCTCAGGCCTGCACAGGCAGGCCCCAGTGGAAGTTTAAAAAAATGAAAGCCGTTTGTCCCTCACCCTTTATCTACCTTTCTCCCCAGGGGTGGGACAGGCAATCAAGTTGGAGGGTGTTGGAGGGTAAAGGACAGAGTGACCTTCCTTCTCCCAAGATGTGGTTCGGTCTCAAAACAGCCCAGTGACCCACCGTGAGCTCTCCCTGAAATCAGGTGGAAAGATCTCACGGAAAAAGTAATTCTAGTTAAACATTTACGGCTGCCTGGGGCAATGCCACTGTGCTGCAGCTACTGCCCGTGAAGCTTTCCAGCATGAAGTGTCAGCCCCAACACACGCACCTGACTCCGAGAGAGATGACTCAGTTTATTCTCAATCTGACCCCATCTTTCCTCCAGGCTCCCACCCTGCACAGACCTGCCACGCCCACTCCCACAACAGCCCACCTCTTGTCCTCCTTTCTCCCGGCCCCTGGGAAGTGAAGGGGATAAACCACAAAGTCAGGGCATTTGGGAAAAGCCAAGGTTAGATAATTTGCAAAACAAACAAACAAAAAAACAAAAAACAAAAAAACCCAAAACAAACTATACGAAGGGTTCAACTACCACAAACATGAGTGTGAGGTGGGCAACGTTCCTTTGACGATGGCCATCTGTATAAATCCCTGGCTTCTTGGGGCTGATCATTGTCCAAGGTCAGTAAGGTGGCCAGCAAGGCTGTGAGCAGGCGTCAGCTTCTACAGGTCATGGGGCATCATCGGTCATGTGAGGGGGATCCAGCAGCTTAGAGAAGTGCGGTGCCCGTCTGGATCAGGAAGCTGATGCCCTTTCCGCCGCTCGGGCACGCGCAGCTTTGGCCTCATCCTCCAGCTCATCTAGGAACCGCTCCTGGGACACTGAGTAGAAGGTGTAACCATCTGGGGAGGTTAGTTAGGGAAACCACTTGGAACAGGCACATTTCCTTTTCCTAGGTAATCTCTCATCCTCCTAAATCTGTAGCCCTTTGTTCCTCCAAGCCCTGACTCATTCTTCAAAGAGGAAGGGAAAGGGAGAACCATCCAGAGCCCCCACATGCGGTCTCCCTAAATCTACAGTCCAGGCGGATACAAATAGCATCCAGAGTCATTGATTGGCTGCCTCCTGCACGCCCCCCAATTAGGGATCTAGCCCACAACCTGGGCATGTGCCCTATCTCCTGATTTATAGGTCAACACTAAACAACTGAGCCAAGCTGGTGGCTGACCCGTTGTTTATTTTTTTTTCAGAGAGGAAGGGAGAGGGAGAAATAGGAACATCAATGATGAGAATCACTGATTGGTTGCCACCTGCACACCTCCTACTGGGGATAGAGCCCGAAACCCAGGCATGTGCGCTTGACTGGAATTAAACCCAGGACCCTTTCCCGCAGGCTGAGCCAAACTGGCTAGGGCGGACCCGTTATTCTTAATTAGTCATGATAAAATAGAACTTAAAATGACAGCGTAGCCGAGACCGGTTTGGCTCAGTGGATAGAGCATCGGCCTACGGACTGAAGGGTCCCGGGTTCGATTCTGGTCAGGGGCATGTGCCTTGGTTGCTGGCACATCCCTGGGAGGGGGTGTGCCGGAGGCAGCTGGTCGATGCTTCTCTCTCATCCATGTTTCTAGCTCTCTATCCCTCTCCCTTCCTCTCTGTAAAATATCAATAAAATGTATTTTTTTAAAAAGGAAAATAACAGCTGAAGGTAAATTAAACGCTTGGCTCCGCGGTTAGACTTTCACAGATCAGGCTCTTTCCACCAGCCCCCTACTGCCCTCCTACACGTCACTGCTCCCCTTCTCTTGTCCCCACATGCAGTCTCCCCGAGTCTACAGTCCAGCGGATACAAATAGCTAACACGAGGGCCCCGATGCTCAGGCCGGTCACGATGTTCCGGGTCCGCCGCTGTGGCAGAGTCTTCTGCCACTGGGTGAGCTGCGCCTGCCGCATGAACTGCAGCTGCGCAGGAGTCAGCTTCTCCCGAGTCGGGTCAATGCGCTGGGCCAGAGGGGCCTCGCCACTCTTGGCATTAAGGGGGTCACCAGCTCCCGGCGCCGCCATATTGCCGCTCCGCCCTTCGCAGTTTGGGGGGGCGCGGGGCTTGCTGGGAATAGCAGCCCTTCGCTTCCGCAGGGGACGCTGGGAGTTGTAGTCCGCGTTTTCTTTCACCAACGCAGTGTGGCTCTAGGTCTTAGGGAAAAGGGGGGTGGGGGGAGACGTAAAACGGACGTGCTTTCTGATTGGCTGAGGGGTCCCCGGCCGTTGTGGCGGGAAAAGGCTGTGGAGGGCTCGAGGCTGCGGTGGGAACTGAGTTTTCCTCAGACTCGAGGCGAGGACAACCACGCAGAAGAGGAGGACGAGCCCAGTGTTGGCAGAAGGCTCTGGAGCGAAGCTAAGGAGATCGGTTTACGGGTCCAGGGAGCCGTCTGGGTGTCCACAAAGGCTTCTGAAAATGGACGGACGTGTGAGGCCAAGATTGGCCCCTGTTAGCGAGTTTCAGTTTGGAGCTGTTGCCACAGAGACCATCGAGGACGCTCTGCTCCACTTGGCCCAGCAGAATGAGCAAGCAGTGCAGGAGTCTGCGGGCCGGATGGGCAGCTTCCGGGAGACGCGAATCGTGGGTGTGGACGCAGGGCCGGGAGCTGTTGTTTGTTTGTTTGTTTGTTTGTTTCGGGGGGTGGGGGGTGGGGGGAACAGGGGCATCTGTCTTTGAGGCACCAATTTTGAGGTTCAGTGTGGTTATTAACTCAGAGAAGTTGCTGCATGCCAGGTGCTGGGATACAGTGATGAATAAGACACACCAGCACCTTACCCTTGATTTCCAAATGTACATTTATTATCCGTGCTGCCTGGGATAGGACGATGAAATATAGCCCCTGCTTTCAAACCATGAATGTAATCCTTGGAGAATAGGACAAGTCTGCAAATGCTTAGGTACAAAAGTATGGTTAAATAAGTGACATACTAGATAAAAAAACAAAAACGAAAAACCAAGCTTCTAGGGGAACTAAAATGAGTGAGGGGGTGAGGTGGGGGTAGGAAGAATGAAAGGAGCCCTCAGGCACCATGGCATTGGAGGTAGGCCTTGAAGGAAAGGTGACATTCGTTGGTTAAGTTAGTAAAGAGGTTGTGTGAGTGAAGCCATGGGAATAGGGACGCTCAGGGTAAGTGTGAGTACAGTGTCATCCAGGTCGGCCAGAGCATCCTGGACTTTGGTGGAAAAGGAGTTGAAATCAAGACCAGAAACGTAGTTTGGAGACATTCCACGGGGGACTTTGAGCACCAAGGCAGAGTCCATACCTGGCTTGGTAGGAAAGCAAGACGGCATGGGGAGTGTCTTAACATGTGATGTGAGGGGAACCTTGGCCCTAGGAAAAATATCTTGGCTGTGATGGGAAAGACGGATCAGAGTTGAGTTTGTGCTCGTAGTTTAGGGCCAAGGGAGTGACAAGGGAGGGTGAATTAAAAACATTTCAGAGGTAAATATAAGGTTCCACAATGGATGAACTTAAGAAGTGAAGAAGGCGAGGATGACTATGCCGCAGAGTTGAGCCCAGGAGACTGGGAACGTAGGGGCGCCATTAAGGGAATCACACATGCACGAAACAACACCACCAAACGGGAGGAAGAGTGACTTCTGTTTGGGAAGGACAATGACTTTGGTTTTGAACTACTGAGTTTCAGGTGTTCGTAGAAACACTTAGAGGAAGGTTTCTGGCTGGCAGTTTAAAAAGTAAGAGAAGTCAGAACCGGAGAGAAAGGTTTGGGAGTTATGGCCATAATGAGACTGCAGAGGCAGGGGGTGAGCTGAGAGAGGGAGAAAAGAGGAGGCCGAGGACAGCTCCTTGGGAAACATTTTGTGTTCAGGAAATTGGAGTCTGAAGCAAAGTGATGAAGGAAGAGGAAGCGGTTTGGAAGATAGGGACAGAACCAAAAGATCCTTGGGAGCAAGAGTGTTTCCAGAAGGATGACAACGGTTTCAGATGCCTCACCGATATGAACATCAGGAATGAGGGTGGCAAAAGGGCCGCGATGTTTGACAACTTGGACATAGTTGCTGGCCTCAGAGGCCACCATTTCAGCAAGTTGGGAAAAGTAGAAGCCAAATGGCAGAACTTAGGAAGTGAATGATAAGGTGGAAGCAGCAGGCATAAACCAGGCTTTCAAGAAATTAGATAAAGCCCTTGCTTAAGAGAATAGAAGGGGCGGGTTTTTCAGTTAATAGTCGATCTGAGTATGTTCGTAAGTGCAGGAGGTGGAGCCAGCAGCAAGGGAGGGGTGTAACGCTCATCCATTCCACCTAACCCAAGCTCAGTTTTCTTGGCAAATTAAAATGGAAAATTAAAATGGAAAATAGAAACAATTGCCCAGATAACTCAGACTCAAACAACTACACACACACATATATACACACACACACACACACACACACACGAAAAACCTTAATTGCTTAAACTAATTCTCTTCATTGGACACTGGTAGCAGAGCTTTAGTCTCTGTAATGATAAGATTTTGTACATACACGTATGTCTGTTGTATGTTGAGTAGATTGTTAAATTATCTTGTACTACCTTGACTTTTTTAAATTTTTATTTATTTTTATTTATTTATTTATTTATTTAAAAATTATTTTTTAAACATATTTTATTGATTTTTTTTTTTTTTTTTACAGGGAAGGAGAGGGGTAGAGCTAGAAACATCGATTAAAGACAAACATCAATCAGCTGCCTCCTACACACTCCCCATTGGTGTGTGCCCCCAACCAAGGTACATGCCCCCCGACCAGGATTAAATTCAGGACCCTTGAGCCCGCAGGCCTAGCTCTATCCACTGAGCCAAACCGGCCACGGGGCCACCTTGACTTTTTTTTTTTTTTACTACTACCTTGACTTTAGGTTGTTTTTTTTTTCCCTCCACAGAAAGTTAAATTTTCTCTGAAGACATATGGTAATTTAATTGTATATACTTTTTTTTTTTTTTTTTTTTTTTACCAATCAGTGCCCAAAGTTCCCAGTTCTGCAGCTTTCTTTATTGAGAACTAACATTTACCTTTGTTTCCGCCCTCTAATGATATTGCAAACTAAATAAAATTCTATCTGGGGAGGTTCTTTCAAAGAGAAACAGGCAGCCTTAAATCTTGCCAAAGTATCTTGCCCTTCCCACCTTCCCAGTGACTCCCCACCTCTCAAATTAGGCTCTGTTCCCTGATTTGGAGGATATTTCTTCAAAGCAAGCCACTCCACCTTAACAAGCTTGCTCCTGGGAGAGGCTCAGCCGCCGCAGATTTACCAAACACACCGGTGGTGGAGAGATGGTGTCCAGCTGTAAGGTGAACCGTGTTTGTAAAGCAATGGGAGTTCTCCAGAGGGTGGTTACTAAACAAACAGTATTATAAAGAAAACTGTAGCTCCAGGAGGGACCTTTCTGTTCCTGTCAACATTCCACTGCAGACAGAATATAAGGGTTCGGATTTGTGTCCATCCAAGAATCACCCTTGAAGCTGGGGGCTCCCAGCATGGCGTAGAGGCCAGTTAGACCAGCTGGTGTGTTTGCGTGTAGCTGGCTAAGCCTTTTGTCAGCTGAGACCCACGGGAAGGCTCCAGGGTCACTGAGGGGGGCTTGGTAAGCCCTTGTCTTTGGCACTCAGTCAGCCTCCTTTTCATGCCTCTGATCTGCCTATTGGCAGCAAAAGGAACTAATCTCAGCTTGGGTTGTTTCAGTCTCATCTTTCTCACCTCCCGACCCCCTTCCCTTGGCCCCATCATGGCTTTTACACAACGCCAAGAGTTCACAGAGTGGTTTTGGTTGCACCTTGTGAATTAGGCTCTTCTTTTCTGTTTTGGCAGAGTTTGTTTTTCTCCTGTCTGAACAATGGTGTCTGGAGAAAGCTGTGAGCTACCAGGCTGTAGAAATCCTAGAAAGGTAAAGCCCTGAGCATAAGGCCTTTGTAGTGGCACCTCTCAGAATGACTAATATATCCAAATCTTAAACACACACACACACACACACACACCCCCCAAAATAGTACTAGTTGCTCCTTACCATGGGACCTGGTTTTGCACCCTCTAGTGCAAATGTAAATCTCTTAGCCAGCAATTGGTATTGGCACTTGGTATTTTTTGAGGATAAGATGTAGCATAATTTGAAGCAGAAACATCCTTTAGATTGAGTGTGGGTTATTTACTCTCCCCCTCCTTTCTTTTTAGGTTTATGGTTAAGCAGGCAGAGAATATCTGCAGGCAAGCCACAATCCAGCTAAGGGAAAAGACAGTGCCTCAGAACTGGAGGGCTCTGAAAGAGCAGCTTTTCAACAAATTTATCCTGCGTCTTGTGTCATGTGTTCAGCTGGCAAGCAAACTGTCTTTCCACTACAAAGTAAGGAGCTGGGGTTGCTCATGGGCACCTGAGTGTTAGAAAGAAACCGGCTCATTCAAAGGTGACTGTGAGAAACCTACTCCTCAGCTAGGTGATACTACTCATGTGGAAATTCCAGAATGTGATTATGCTTCCTACGCATACCACACACACACACACACACACACACACACACACACACACACACCACACACAGTCACATAGAGGCAGTTATTAAATAGCCTGAAGTTCTGTTCCAAAGTATAATTGCTGGACAGAGGCCATTGTTCATACAGGTCACCTTTTTCCCCTTGGACTCAAGGACAGTTTGCATAAAATGTCTGAATTGCCAACATATCAGCATTAAGGTAAACTACTATGTTTAAAAAGGATAAAATTTTTCCCCACATTACTACCCAATGTGTATATAACAAAGTATCATTCACTCAACAAATATTTATTGTCTTCTATGGCCAGATGCTGCACTAGGTGCCATGGCTGCAACAGTAAAAATATTGTCTGTGCTCTCAAGGAACTTAGCCAATGAGAGAAGACACACAAGCAAATAATGTGCTCTGATTAGTGTCAGTACAGAGGGCTATGAATGAACCTCATTAGCCTTGGAGAGTCAGGGAAGTGTATTTAGAGAAAATGACTTCTTGAAGGGGGTGGTTATGGAAGATGGGTGGATCCTAAGAGAAGTGGGAGAGGAGTTAAGAAAAGCAGGAAGAGAGAAGGGAAGGAAAGGAGGTCCAGATACAGGAAACAGCATTGTAGAGGCTTGGGGAGCTTGGTGGGTTTGAGAGCTGCAAGTTCTATATGACAAGCATTGAGGGTAAGAGGGAATTACCAAGGGAAAAGGCAAGATGCAGGCATGGGCTGGATTTGTACACTATGCCAAGATGCATGGCCTTTATTCTGACTCCCTTTCCTCTCCCTCACTGTTTTTCCTTGCCCAGATAATCAGCAACATTACAGTCCTGAATTTCCTCCAGGCTCTAGGATATCTGCACACTAACGAAGAACTACTGGAGTCAGAGCTTGATATTTTGAAGTCTCTGAACTTCCAAATCAACCTGCCTACTCCCTTGACTTATGTGGAGATGCTCCTGGAGGTTCTAGGTAATTGATTAAGTGTGCCAGGGACTGTGCGTGGGAGTCTTCCCTAGGAGGCAATAAGAATGTACCCAAAGGTTTGGGAGCAGTGGGCAGAACCCACCAATGAGGAGCAGCAGGAAGCCTGGGCTGATGGAGGGAAGTGCTCTCTGGTACTTGTCAGGAAAAGAAACTTAGGTCTGGCTTTGTTTGGACTCATGAGGTACTCTCTTACTGCAGGAGTTTTATGGAGAGGCATGAGATAAGAGGGGAACAAACAAATATACTCGAATTGTATATGGAGATTTCTCTACCTTTCCCTTTGTCCTTTAAAATTGACCTCCAGCTGAAGAGGTTTCTTACAGTAAAGCAAAACAATCAGGAAGCACATTAACAGCTCAACAGTTTTATGTTGCATAACCACCGTGATTATGACCAGAAAAGACCCTTCACCATGCCCATACTCCATCTAGGGTACAATGGCTGTTTGGTCCCAGCCACACAGCTGCATGCAACCTGCCTAACCCTGCTCGACCTAGTCTATCTTCTGCATGAACCCATATATGAGAGCCTGCTGAGGGCTTCAATCGAGAACTCCACGCCCAGTCAGCTACAAGGGTAAGGCAACCCCTTCAGCCTAGGCTCCTTCCAGAAACAGAGTCCAGAATGTAGCATGAGAACTTGGGGAATGGAATTTACCTGGCGAGGCACCCAATCCAAAGATAACCGGCACAGGTTATCTGGTTCAAATTAACGTCCGGTTTGTTGTCTGGATGCAGATGACTGAGCCCAATCAGCAAAACCCTAAATGTTTTCACTTCCAAATTTAAATGACTTCAAGTAATTATTTCCTAGTTCTTTCTTTATAGCTGTTTATAATTTGAGGTTACCTGACTGCTTTTATAGTCACTCGGGGAATAAAAGCCAGTCACAAGGTTGCAACTTGGACAAAAGTGTTTGATTACTGTAAAGCAGAATAGTAAAAAGCCTCACAATTACATTTGTTAGGGAGACAGGTGGAACAACAAAAGGCCTATGAACCAGACGGGAGGCTCATGTTTAAATCCCAGGTGATTTGGGGGAGGCTGGGGGAAGGTCAATTAACTATTAGTTGACCATTTCCTTCCATGTCTAAAAAATCCACGATGATCAACATCAACAATTGAAGTTGTATGACCCTAAGATTTGGAAGATAAAAAAAAAAAATAAAAAAAAAAAGATTTGGAAGATCAAATTTCAGCTCCAAAATTAATAATGGTTTTAATCACTCAGGGAAAAGTTTGTTTCAGTGAAGGAAGACTTCATGCTATTGGCAGTAGGAATCATTGCAGCAAGTGCATTCATCCAAAACCACGCGTGTTGGAGCCAGGTATGCATCACTGAGTAGGACCAGCGCGGTCAGAATTCATTTAATAGAAAGCATTCTCCCATTTAGTTAAAGGAAAACAGAAGACTATAAAAGGTAAGTGCCAAGACCGAGGATTAAGATGAATGAGCAGGATTTGGGAAAGGGAAAACTAGGTTAGGACTGAAAAGTGTTCTCTAGTTTTCCTCTTATAAAATTAGAAATGGAGGTCCAAATTCAGCTTGTTCTCCTTATGATGATAATCTGTTACCATGTTAAAGTCTAATAAATATATCCTCCCAAAGAGAAAATGTCAAGGCCCAGATATCCCTCTCACCTTTCACAAAACTCATCTCCAGCCCAGAGAGATGTCTAGTAGAAACTCCACACCAACACCATCAGGGCAAATGCATCCTCATGAAATTTGGCTATTGGCAAACACTGGGTCTGGATTTAATCTTCTCTGTAAATACAGAGAAACAAAAACATTTATATTTGGCTTCAGAGTCCAGCCCAAGCAATTTGTGTACTAAAACATGTTGAGATAGTTTAGTAATAAAAAACTCTGTTTCTGAAGGTTGTGGGGCACTTGCAGAGCATCACGGGTATTGCCTTGGAGAGCATTGCTGCATTCTCTTATGCAATCCTGATGCACAGCGTGGGAGCCAACACTCCGGGGCGACAGCAGCCGATTCCTCCCCACCTGGCAGCCAGAGCTCTGAGGGCTGCCGCTTCCTCCAGCACATGGACAGAATCTGCCCAGTAGAAAGAGCCTTCCATCACAGCACTCACCCCTCCCTTTGTTTACTTTCTACTCAGGGCACAAAAGTTTCAAGTATCTTTTGAACTGTGTTTTGTATTCCAACTTGATGCTTATTTTCCTGCATCAGAGAAAGAGTTAAGGTGGACAAGCATGTCCTTTTTGCCATATTAGAATGAAAATGTAAGAAGTTAAGAGAGAGAGAATATTAGTGAAGTTGGTTCATTTTTGTTTGACAATATATTTATGTTATGGCTTTTTTTTTTTTTTAACTGTTCCTTTCACCTAAACCGGTTTGGCTCAGTGGTAGAGCATTGGTCTGTGGACTGAAAGGTCCTGGGTTTGATTCTGGTCAGGGGCATGTACGTTGGTTGCGGGCACATCCCAGGTAGGGGGTGTGCAAGAGGCAGCTGGTCGATGTTTCTCTCTCATCGACGTTTCTAGCTCTCTATCTCTCTCCCTTCCTCTCTGTAAAAAATCAATAAAATATATTTTTAAAAAATTAAAAAAAACACACAACTGTTCCTTTCATTGAGAGAATATCAGACATGGAGATTAGTATTTACTAATCTGAGACCATCTGGGTGACATTGACTGAGAAAGGAGGCAGCCTGTATTTCTCCTTCAAGTTTAATATCTGTTCTGTTAAGATATATACTAAAAAAAAAAGGGGGGTTTTCTTTATAGCTATTTTCACTAGCCTTCTTAAAAAGTAACACTAACCCATCTCTAGACATGTTTCTACAGAATTTCCACATACCTTCACTTAAACTCAATTCTCCCAGAATACAAACTAACTATTTTAAAGAAAAATCCATGGGCAATTATCAGACTGCAGCAAATCTTTTATTACAAATAATTCTCTCCATAATGTCTTTAGGAGTATCAAACACCATTTCGTATCTCTAACACAGAACAGACAGGCATTCAGTACTAGAACCAAGTGAGAAGTGTTAAATTTCAAGCTTCTGATCACATCACACGGTGACCAAAGCTTACTTATATGTCATTTTCTCACATTATCCAAAACTGTGCGTCTCATACATCTCATCGTCTCAGTGGAGACAAACGTTTCTATTTAATATTGTTAAGTGCAGGAAGTTGAAAGAGATAAATTACAGTGAAAACATATCAATCTCAATTCAACTCAGTTACAAACAAAAACAGAAGCAAATTTAAATTATTTTAAGGGGAGAGGGAAAGGAAGGCTTGGGGTGAAGAATTAAAACTATAACAAGGCTGGTAGCTCTGGGAACTATTTGCCATGTGATATTTTACAATAAAGTGGCTTTTGTAGATTTTTTTCTTTTTTTGGTATATTGTAAACGTGTGTTTAATAGTACCCAAACTTAACTTAAAACTTTTCAAACAAAACAAAATTTAAAGCCTTTAAGGCAAACATCCCGCTAAGGAAAACAGAAAGTCATTTATTATAAAACTGTGAGGACACCCAAGCAAGACCCCACTTAAGATTCGTCAGCATGAACTTGAGAGCTTTTGTCCACTGTTCCTCAGAGTTAAACTGGGTTTTGATGGAATAGGAGCCGCCGCTGCCGCCTGTGTCTTCAATCTTGCCTTTTTCCACATCCATCCTGCAGATGAGCACAGCAGAGCTCATTAGGAACTGAGATCTGATTTAAGTCAGTTCAGGCAAATGGACAGGGACTCAATCATGGGACCATTCACGTCATTTTATCTATGAAAGAACTTGGCAAGAAACGGTAGTGTATTTTGGATTTACTTGAAAGCCAAAAGTCAAGGAGGCTGTCACAAGAGCCTCATTGTCATCTGGAGTACAGGGACAGGACACACACCCAAACAGATGACAAGCCTGGAGCGGAGGGAAAGTGAGGGTTACAGTACTCCTCACTGTTTTCCTAGGCATCCCTGAACTCAAGGGAGGGAAGGGAGCAGAAGAAAAGAAACACTTTGTTTTGGGGTGACAGAAGCAGCTCAGCTTTACTCTCTTGAACTAAGGTCTCGATCACCGGGCTCCTACACAGTTTGTCCATAGGGAGCATTCCTGAGTATTTCTAGGGCCTTAAGGAAAAACATTCCTGAAATTGGAGACTGGACATGAGCTCCATCGCAAGAAAATCCCCCTAACTACCTAAGACAGCATTCTTTATCTCCAGGAGTCAGGTGGTCACATTCTGTCCTACTTGCAGCGTTAGATTACTCTTTGCCCATCAATGTCAGGTGATTTTGTACCATTTCTGCTTTCCCATCATTCATACTATGTTTTGCCTCCATTTTTAGTATCCCTTTAAATTCTACTCAATTTGGTCCTACTCTTGATCCACTCAGCATTGGGGGATACTGACCTGTAAGGAAGACAAAATCGTGTCTCGCCTTTCTCAACCTCTTCTTTGAACTGCTGCACACAGTCCAGGAAAGCCACCATTGCATGATCAAACTTGTTGTCCCAGAAAAACCGCAACCCCCCCGAACAGTATAACGGCAGCTCCTGCCCAAGGAGAGAGAACTGGTATGGGTGTGGCACCAGGACAGGCGATCAGAGATTGTTCCCAATCCTACCAATCTCCCACGTCATGTTCTTTCTGTGTTCCACTGAGAACAGTAACCCTGGGAAAATAACAATGCACTAGAACTTCTCTATCATCAATGGAAATGTATTAAACATCTACCTCACGGTGATTCCTTCCCCACCCTAGAGCACACATTCCCCTCTGATCTGCCCATATCCCTTCTCAACAGACTGTACAAAAAACTCATTTTCTCTCTAGGCCTCAAAGAGCTAATCCTGAACTGGACAAGACATTAGCTCTTCATAGAGATATATGTATAGGAAGGAAACTGAATAATGTCATTATGAAGAATAAACTTATGTGTTTTTTTAGGAGGTATAAAAATTCTGTATTCCAGTGAAAATGGAGCTTCCCAGAGTACCTTAGATTTGTCTGTCAGAGACTCCAGGTACGAATGGTTTCCATAGGGGACAAGCCGATACCTAAAAAGGAGATGCATACAGAGATGGATAGAGGGTTCCTCCAAAAGTGATTATTGGGATGTTAGAATCCAATGATTTTCAGACTTTATCCTACCTGTTTTATTATTTCCACCCTCTCTCTCACCTTCCTATAGGCTCCATGTTTAAGATTTTGCTACTGAACAAATTATATAATCATCTGGGGGTGGAGGGCCTTCGTGAATGAACATATGTTTTGGTTTAGATTTAAAAACAAAACCTGAAAACAGCTTGAGGAACACTAAAGTTCTGGAGATACCGGTGGGCTGGGGACCACTACAGCTTGAGGACTGCAGAAAGATCCTTATGGTGAGCGGAAAACCAGACACAGACAGAAAACTTCCAGGCTATTGGGATAAGGGTTCCTGCCATAGCGGACAGCAGTACCAGTGTGGAGATACAAATATCAAAGACATACCATCCCCCAAGAAAGGGCTACATATCTTACCTCTGGAATTTCAGACCCATCTTATTGGCCAGGGCATGGAGCAGCAACACTGTCTGGCCCCAAGCAGCATTAATCTCATTCCATTCCACAGGAACACTGGGCAGGCGACCCAGCCTGAAGTTATTAATTGTGCCAAACTGTCCACTATGCCTATAGAAGAAAGCAAAAGGACAGGGGAAAAATACAGGGAGAACTTAAAACTTAGCAACTTCTAAGACTTCCTGCTCTTACCTAAAACCTAACATAAATCTCCTTTCTTATCTTCAGATTCATATAGCCAAGTTCTTCTTGGTACTTTAAATACATGTCTAAAATGCTGCCGAAACCGGTTTGGCTCAGTGGATAAAGCATCAGCCTGAGGACTGAAAGGTCCCAGGTTCAATTCCGGTCAAGGGCATGTACTTTGGAGACAGCTGGTCGATGTTTCTCTCTCATTGATATTTCTAGCTCTCTATCCCTCTCCCTTCCTCTCTGTAAAAAATCAATAAAATATATTTTAAAAAATAATAAAATAAAATGTGAGTCATCTTTCCACCTGCTGCTCAAATGCCAAAGCAGAAATTGAGGCATTATCCTTGAGCACTCTCTCAGCTCTCTCCCTTTAAGAAAGCATCAAACTGTTGATTTTACTTCCTAAATCTCTTCAATCTGCCCACTTCTCTCCAAACTCAATGCCATTACTTTCTTTTTCTATTTAGATTCCTACTAACAAGTTTCCTTATCAAAAATAGTACCCTCTTCAAGTCACTTCTCACATTGCAGGTAAAGTTATCACAGATGCAAATGTAATTATGTCACTTGCCTGCCTCAAATGCTGCAATGGCTCCCACTACCTTTTTTTTTTTTTTAATATATATATATACATATATATATGTATGTATGTATATGTGTATATATATATATATATGTGTGTGTGTGTGTGTGTGTGTATATATATATTTTATTGATTTCAGAGAGAAGGGAGAGGGAGAGACAGGAGAAACATCAATGATGAGAGAGAATTATTGATCGGCTGTCTTCTGCACACTTCCCGCAACCCAGGCATGTGACCTCCTGGTTCAAGGTTGATGCTCAACCACTGAACTACACCAGCTGGGCTCCCACTTCCTTTGGATAAAGTCCAAATCCTTTATGATACCTACAAGGTACTTTAGGAACTGGTAACTCTCCAGTTTCATATCCTGTCATTCTCCCCTTTACTCTCTAGTCACAATAAGCTCCTTTCAGTTCTCTGAATTCACCACTCCCACTTTTCTGTTTCTTTGCACATGATGTTCTCTCTGACAGGAACAACCCCCTCCGCTGCAGACTTCTATTCACATCTCAGCTTAAGCATCAACCTCCTCTGAGGGAAACTTTCCACGTGGCCTGCTCACTTTGGGTAAAGTGCCCTTATGTGTTCCCACAGCACCCTAGGTTAACCATTATCAATCTGTATTACAAGTGCCTATTACTTATTCAGCTCTTCCACTAGATTATAAACAACTAGAAGGTAGAATGCATATTGTTTGCTGTTGCCATCCTAGTGCTTAGAATAGTGCCTACCACACAGTAGATGCTCAATTGATACTAGTTAAATGGATAAAACATCAAGTAAATTAATACACGAATGACCCTAAAGGTAAGAAATCAGCTCTAGGCTGAGGACCAGAATTTCATGTGGCTGGAGGGCTCAGATCTGTCCGTTTCCTTGGAAGAGTGGATGGCATCAAGCTCCAGAATTCCAATCCCCTGATCGTGCCTACCCCATCACAAGGAAAGGAAAAAACCTAGATGGGATAAAAATTATATACAGCCCTATTTTGTGGGAGGTGGGCACCCTGACTTAGAGGCCAACAGCTTAGAAGCCAACAGCTAAGGTCCAGATACGCAGTGCTTTCCAGACGCTCCTCACCCTCCAGCCCCATTACCAGATGTGGAAGGTTGCATTAAAGACGTTGGTTTTCTTCAGCTTGTCCAGCTGCACCTGGGCATAACGCATCTGGTTTTCTACGCTCTTCAGCTCATCATCCAGTTCCAGCTGTTGTCGTTTAAACTCACTGTATTCCCTCTGATACCTGTGAGCAGCCAAAGTGGCCATTGAAGGCTGTTAGTTTGGGGGCTAAAATTTCTGTTATCACCCTCCTTAAGGATTTCTTTTTGTGATTATGGTTACATCTAGTTACAGCATCATTTAGATTTGTCACAGATCCCACTCAAAGGAACATACATGCCCCAGCTGTCTTGCCTGGGAGGGACAGGAATGTCTCCAATTCCAGCTGCCCAAATGCAAAAAGGGGAGGAAGAAAGGACTCTTCCAAACCAGGCCTAACACCTCTTGGATGTCTGACCTTTTCCAGAGTCAAGGTGAAATATGTCAAGACTGGCTTCTTCATGGCTTGGCCATAATTGAACTCATATAACTTCACCTCTACATTCTTATTATCCTTTAAACAGTAAACACCATTTCCAATGAAACTTGTTACACTGCTCTGTGAAAAATTAACTTTTTGTTCTGTCCTTCACTTCCCGTTTCAGTAAACGTGGACACTATGTCTCCTCCAATAGACAGAGGGTTCTCTCAGGTTGAGAGCACCAATGAAATTTTTGAGCTGAGAAGGAATGAATGTGGGCCAATATGCTCCTGAGCAGAATGCCGGGTGCAGATGATCCCCATTCCCTACAGCACAGAGCTGTGACTACAGCCTTGGCTCTCCACTCTCTATTTAATCAACAAGCTTTTTTTACTTAGTCATGCTGACCCTACATACATAACTCTTCATACAAATCTCTAGAAACAGGACCTGGCAACAATATGCAGGATCCAGAGCAGACAGGCTGCAGAATGACAGCTGAATGCAGCTTATAAACTAATCAGACACATTCAGCTGGAAGCCATTTCCCCTCCTGGAGCTTTCAGGGCCGGAAATTAGAAGAACAGGGTGATCACTTACTGAGCCTCCTCCTGATCCAGTCTCTCAGCTTCAGCCTGGACCTTTTCGAGATTTTCTGCCACTAATTTACGGTTCTTTTCCACATCTTCCAGCTCCTGAATCAGCCTCTCCTCCTCTAATGCCAGCTCCTTTAGCTCCACCTGTAGCTGTTCACTGTCATCCTCATTCATTTGCTCTAAGATCTCTAAACAGCGCCTGCCAAGGACAAAGTATGCTTGCAGAAGGAACCTGTTATTCTGTTTACCTGAGCTGAGCATAGCTCTTGGGTAAGAACTAGGCAGTCTTGGAGCAGTGTCGGCTCTAAGACCCAGATGTCAGTTTCCAGGCCCTTGCCCTGGAGGCACTCACTTGTAGTTCTGACACTCATTTTCAGTGACGTTGAGCTGAGTGTCCAGCTGGTCTAAAAGAGTATCTGTGCATTCCTCACACAGTGGGTGATCCACATCTGTTTGGCCTGACATGATGTCAAAAAGGTCCCCAGTGACCTGGAAGTAAGGGAGAGTCAGGGTAGGGCCTTCCCCATGCTACCTGCCCACACAACCCCCTCTACCAGCCATGCCGGCTGCTTGATGCTAGAATGAGGCCTACTTGCCTTCAGTCTTCGGCTAAGGTTCTCCATGGTTCCGCCATCAGATGCCTCCCCAATCAGAGTGAAGCTGTTGGCACTTTCTGTAGACATCATCCTGCAGACAGCCCCCCGCCCATGGGCACATGAGGGAGCAGAGAGGCCTCCTCCACCTACTGCGGTGCCAGTGGCAGAGACTCTCAAGCATCAGCTGAGGGGCCTCAAGGTGCATACCCACTCCTAGCCCGACTGACCTCCCAAGGGTACCTCTCTCCCAAGGGAAGGCCATGCTGGTCTTCCACAGGGGCACTCAGCATGAAGGTTGGCTGGACAGACTACGGAGGGAGAAGGGGCATTAAAAACTGATATGTGTGTGTGTCTATAATAGAAAAGGAAGGAGAATCTGGAAAGACCATTTGTTTTTTAATATTACTCCCCTCGACAGCCACCTTCACATGCATCAACAATTAAGAACCTGAACATCTAACATCAGCTAATCTTAAACTTTTTAAGAGCCCATCCCATTTATTATTGACTTTTCTCACTTCTCTATCATGAGAGCTATTGTCTCTTTTCACGTGTAAATGGCTACAGGAAAAACTCAATTAGTATTGGAAGGTGATGGGCCAAGTAAAAGGGAATGCATTTTTTTTGGAGGAGCCAAAGGCTGGGTGATGATACATCTCTATCACCTGGCTCCAAGCCTCAATTGTGGGTTAAATTAAAATTCTCCTAGTCTTTGGCAAGGAGCAGGGGGCTGAAGAGTAGTAGGCACCTGGCTGGGGGGATGAATCTGCGAGAGACACCATCCTGACGAGTTTCAATAAATGGCTCCTGGGAACGAAATAAGAGGACATTAGCATTTTGGCAGCTTAGAACTATTTGGCTCTACCCTTGATCTACAACCACAAGACAATAAACCAGAGACTTAACTGGGTATTACCTAACCAATCCTTAAATACTAAGACACACCCCAAGTCCCATTTGATATTTTTATGGGGAATGGCATTCCCTATGTTATATTCAATTATAATTAAATATGCATTTTCTCGCCAAAACCGGTTTGGCTCAGTGGATAGAGCATTGATCTGTGGACTGAAGGTCCCAGGTTCGATTCTGGTCAAGGGCATGTACATTGGTTGTGGGCACATCCCCAGTAGAGGGTGTGCAGGAGGCAGCTGGTTGATGATTCTCTCTTATCGATGTTTCTAGCTCTCTATCCCTCTCTCTTCCTCTCTGTAAAAAATCAATAAAATGTATTTTAAAAAATAAAAAATAAATAAATAAATATGTATTTTCTCAACACTTACTAGTCAGGGATAAGGGTGAGTGAGATACCCTAAATATCATGGCACAAGGAAAAAGCCAGATCAGACTACAGTGAAGTTTGGCATAGCAGAGAAAAAAGTAGGTAATTTATATGTTTTAAATACATTGATGTGATTTATATGTGATCAAAAACTTATATCTGTCTTTGGCAATGAAAATGATCACTGAAGTGATCACAGTTTAAAAATGACATGTTCTCAAAAGAAAAGACATGTTATCTAATGACAATGCCCCCATGACTAGGGTAATCATATAATTTGTTGCCCAAACCAAGATACTTTTGAGAATGAAGAGGAAGTGGATATTAATAATTAGCTAGGACAACAGATGTAAACCAGGATGCCCTGAGATGACTTTGGATATATAGTTCATCCCATCTCTCACCTATAATGGCTTATAATTCTGCATAAAATAAAGAAGAACCTCTCGCCGGGACCGGTTTGGCTCAGTGGATAGAGCGTCAGCTTGGGGACTGAAGGGACCCGGGTTCGATTCCGGTCAAGGGCATGTGCCTTGGTTGCGGGCATATCCCCAGTGGGGGGTGTGCAAGAGGCAACTGGTCGATGACTCTCTCTCATCGATGTTTCTGGCTCTCTGTCTCTCTCCCTTCCTCTCTGTACAAAATCAATAAAATATATTAAGAAAAAAAAAAAAAAAAGAAGAACCTCTCTCCATGTCTTTAAATGGATGACTTTTTCAGTAACCCTGTAACCTCAGTACAATGATCCACAGTGGCTTGATCATGTAGAATGTCTTGTTAACCACAGATCCCAAAAGTCTGTGGGCTCTAGAAGCACCAAGTACCCTGCAGAAACCTGTTTGCATTCCAGTGTTTCCTACCTCTCCTGAGTTACCCTCTTCCTCCTGGGTCTCTCCTGATTTCACCTGGGCTGTGGCAAGTAATGGAGCTAAGGGCAAAGAAAATATTGAGTCAGAAAGAATCTTATCAAAGGAGTGGGTATAAAAACATAGAAAAAAGCCCTGGCTGGCACGCTCAGTGGTTAGAGCATCAGCACGCACATCAGGGCATGAAACTGGGTTGCAGATCCGATCCCCAGTCCCAGGAGGCAACCAATCGATTATCTCTCTCACATCGATGTTTCTCTGTCTCCCTCCCGGCCTTCCACTCTCTCTGGAAATCAATTGGAAAAAAATATCCTTGGGTGAGAATTAATGATAACAAAAAAGTATAGAAAAAGAATTGGAATTATACTCATAACCACCCACACCTATATCTTTTTCTTAAAGTATCATTTACACAAAGAATCTTTACCCCTATTAAATGAGATTAAGGAGTTAAATTTCCCCCCAGAATAATCTATATATATAAAAGGCTAATATGCTAAGTATCCTTCTCTTGTCCAGGTAATGATAAGTAGCAACACCTGGTTTCCTCTCCCCAGTGACAACTAGTCTCCTTGCAGTTTCTTCATAGCTAGTGCAAACATTTCACACTTTAACCAAATGTCTGTGTAGAGTTTTCCTGTGCCTCATCTCATTTTACCCTCACAGGAGTCCTGGATTAGGTAGATAGGAGATTTGGTGGAATCCTATTTTCTTTTCATTAACTGGAAAACAGTGATTCAGAAATCTTAAAAACTTGACCTGACTGAAAAGGCTCGGTCCTTAGTGCTGCCATGGTTTTTTCACTGCACAGAATATAGTCAAACATGGCTGCAGTTAAATCTTTTGCTCTTTGTTCTCCCTGTGATCTACAATAATAATCTGCTTTGGCTGATATTTACTGCTGTGTTGCTGACAATTACCTAAAAGAGAAGTTGGTGTGCTTCACTGGACTGGGAAAAGTTTAGCTACATCAGAAAGCAGGTCTAATTAAGCAAGTTTATTCTATATCTATAAAAGGCTAAGGTGACTCGTGATAGAATATAAAGCTCTTGCTGGCGCCAATAGCAGGTGTGTGTTTCGGTCTGTCATTGTCGATGGTGAATTTGGTTGATACTTCTATTATAGAGAAAGGGTGAATAATGACATTAAAAGATTTCTTCTAATTAATTTCCTTTCAATGTGCATGAATCCGCTCACCGGATCACTAGTGATATCATGGTTGTTTTTAAAGATGCCTTATCTTTCAAAAATAGTTACAAAATATCAACTTATCTTTGGGATTTACTTCAAAATAATATGGACCCTGGCTGGTGCTCAATGGTTAGAGCACCAGCCCACAGATTGAAGGGTTGGTCAAGGGCATGCACTTGGTTGCAGGCTTGATCCCCTGCCCCAGTCGGGGTGTGAGCAGGAGGCAACCAATTGATGTCTCTCTCTTACATTGATATTTCTCTCTCTCTCCCCTCTTTTCCCCTTCCATTCTCTGAAAATCAATGGGGAAATATTCTCCCCTAAAAAAAAATAAATAAATCTATATACATAAAATCCTAAGTGATCATTATGACAGAATGGCTGGTACAACCAGTTGCTATGACGTGCACTGACCACCTGGGGGCATACACTCAACGCAGGAGCTTCCCCTAGGCCCCCACTGCTGATGGGGCCTGTGGGCCAACCCCTCTGGTCCCTCCCCAGGCTGGAACAGGGAGCTGGGGTTGGGTGGCAGTGGATGGGGCCCCTTTCCCAGGGGGACCAAAGGCTGGCTTCCTCGTAGTGAGCCAGCCAACCTCCTACCTCCCTCTCCTTTTCTTTCCCCGACTAGGGAACTGGGGGTGGGTGGGGAGGAAAGGAGGCAGCGGGGAACCTGCTTAGCCCTGATCACTGGCCAGGCTTAGGGACCCGACTCGTGCATGAATTTCATGCACAGCCTCTAGTCCTATATAATAAAACTCTAATATGCAAATCAACTGAACAGAATGATTGGTCACTATGCCGCCCACTGAGCACCAGGGGCAGACGCTCAATGCAGGAGCTGCCCCCTGATGATTCTTAAAAGAACCTTGAGAATGTTTTATTTTTTGTTTTGTTTTTAAACTGTCTGTCCGTTACGATTTCACTCAATTCGTCCGGGTCATCAAAAGGCAGTTTATTCTAGGGAGGTACAGTGACAATTAGAGGAATACTCAGCTCAATGTGTGTATCAGCCTCCCAAGAGATTGTTTTATGTTTTCCTGATAAAGAAACCGGGGCCTACAGAGGTGATGTAACTTGCAAAAAGTCATCCAACTATTAAGACAGCCAGGATTTAAATCCAAGCAGGCTGACTCCAGATCCTTGAGCTTATTTTTTTTTAATGTTTTTTATTTTTATTTTAACTCACTTTTAGAGACAGTAAGGGAGCTAGAACGATAGAAACACTGACGGGGGAGGGACATCATCTGACTGAAATCGAACCCCCAAGACCTCATGAGCGTCACACAGGCCAGGCTCCTCGAGCTTACTTTAACTTTATTCAATTTTCTCTTTTAAAAATGACATCTCACTCACTGGGTCTATTAGAATCGTTCCTCCATTGACTAGCTGTTAAACGCTGGGTAAGTCACTTAAATTTTCAGAGCCTCAACTCATTTGTAAAATGATCCCTAAGGGTTGTTGCAGGAACTGAACTAAGTAATGCATGTAATGCAGTTGGTACATGGTAAGTCCTCAAAATGTGCCCTTCATTATTACATATACACATTCCTTTCCTCTGAAAGAGTAGGAGTAAGAAAACTAAGGACGTTTCCTTGCTATAGAAAGCTCTCCGAGGCGCACTGAGTCAGAAGGCCTTTATGTTCCGGATAAGAAAACAGGGAGCCAGAGAGATTAAGTGACTTTCCTAGGTTTACACGGGAGCCTGCGGCAGACTACAAGGATAGAGACATCTTAAGACCTACATCTCCAAAGCTGCCCACTTTCAACGATTTTGACCCCCCTCTTTGCAAGGGTCTCGCTGACCTGTGAGCTCCTGGATGGTGACACGGTCCAGGATCTTGAAGCTCGTGTCCAGTTTTAGGGGCTGGCTGCAGCGCTGGCACACGAAGCTCACCTGCATGGTGCTGCTGGACGTCTTAGATCCCTCCATCCCTGCGGCGATGGAGAGGAGGCGGTATTAGGGAGAAGCGGCGCCCTTGAACCCCCGGTTTGGGGCTACTGAAGGGGGGAAATCCCGCCCGCGCCGTTCTCTCTAGGGACGGTACGACAGCGAGTGGACCTGCTTCCGGGGCAGCCCCGGCAAAAACAGTGTGCAGCCAGCCAGGGAGGGGAGGCGACCGGCGCCGTCAGGGGGCCCAGGCTCCCTTCTAGGGTCGCGGCTCAGCCCTCGACGCTCTTCACCTCGGAGTCCGGAGCCCGCCACCCTGCTCCGGTCTACCGCGGGGGCACCACGGCCTCCGGGCTGCCCTGGAGGGAGGCCTCCAGAACTGCCATCATCCAGTCTTCAGCTACTTCCCGGTGAGCCGGGGAGGACTTCCGCCAGGACCGGATGTGACGCAACGACGGCGGCAGCTGCAGGCGGAGCCAGTAGGTGGGTCCAGGTGCACCCGCTTTCGGGCCGGGCTGCGGCCCCTAGAGGCCGAGCTGGGAAACGCAGCCGGCGCCGGCGGGTGAGCGTAGGTTGCCTGGGGGTGGAAGGACCGAGTAGGGAGAGATGGAGGAGTCTCTGCCATCCTCTAATTCAGTGACTTTTCTTTAGATTTGTCACTTCTGAGCGGAGCCACTTTAGTTCTTTCTGCAGTATCAGCTTTACTTATTTTTATTTATTTGTTTTTTTACTATTTATTTTTAAATTGATTTCAGAGAGGAAGGGAGATGGAGAGAAAGACAGAAACAACAATGATGAGAATCATCCATCAGCTGCCTCCTGCTGACCCCCTCTGGGTTTGGAGCCCACAATCGGAGCATATGCTCCTGACCAGAATAGAACCTGGGACCCTTCAGTTGCAGGCCAATGCTCTATCCACTGAGCAAAACCAGCTAGGGCTGCAGGACCAGTTTTAAAAGTTTCTCCTTGGGAGAGCTGGGCTTTCTTTCAAACGCCCCCGGGAGAGTGTCTACACTTGGAGGGGAGGTAAATTTTGTTTTATATTACAAAATTTCAATTATTAATTAGAGAAAGTCGAGCATTTCAGATATTGAAACATATAAAGATGTTATAAAATATAAAATTAAAACACTTTTGTCTTTATGCAGGAATAGAGAGATCAATGAAACAGAATAGAGTTAAAAATAGACGAAGTATACAATAGTATGAGATAAAGCTAGTCTTTCAAATCAGTGAGGAAATGATCTACTTCATAAGTGATGAGTGGGGACTAAGAGGCTTGTAGATAGTAGTGAGCTGAATCTCCTACTGCACTACTTACACCAAAAGAGGTTTATAGTTATTCACAAATTTAAGCATAAAAAATATGATGATTGAAAGTACTAGATGAAAGCATGTTTGAATATTTTTAATAATCTTGGAGTGGAGAAGGTCTAAGCAGAATATGAAAATCAGAAGCTAAAAAAAGGGGAATATTGAATTTTACTCCTTAGAAATGAAAACTTTTAGAACTGGAAAAAAAATTACAAAAGAAAAATGTGGAAAAAGTTGCAGCTCATAAAATAGAAGGCAAATTTCCTTTATATGCATAATTCTATACAATCAGCAAAAACACTAATAAGCCAGTATGAAGTGGGCAAAGCATATGAAAAAGCAGATCACAAAAACAAATGGTTGATAAAGAAATAAAAAGACTTTACTTAGGGCAGCCATAGACTTTCAAAGGACCTTTTCTTTAGCTCATACTCCTCAGAGAGTCTTCTCCTCCTGCGCCTTTTATTCTTATATTTTTAAAGCTTAAATGTGTATATTAATTTAGGACTTTATTTAGAAGTATAGGCTATCTTTGTTGGCAGCAGCATATTCCGAAATGTTTCGTAGATATTTATATTTTTGAATAAAGATGGTGTTATTGAACGACACACAAAAAAGAAATAAAAAGATGTTTCATTTCACTTGTAATTAAGTTAATTCAAATTACACTTCAGGGAGGCATTCCTCATTTATGAGATTGGTAAAGGCTGAATCAGTGAATAATAACCACTGTTGATGAGCATTTGGGGAACTCTAAAATACTGTTGGCTGAGGGTATAAATTAGTATCATAGGGGATTGCTTAAAAAAATCATGGTATTATTCATTAGCAGAATACTATGCAACTATTAAAAAGAATGAATTAAATTTGTTTTTTACTTGATTCAATTGACTACTTTGCCAGTAGTCTGAAGAAGGGCAAGGGTGGAAGCAGGAAAACCAGTTATTAGGTTTTTGCAGGAATTGAGGCAAGAGATGAATGTCAATTGAAATAAAAAAAGTTATAGGCAGATACGTGATATGATTCCATTTGTATGTAACATACACCATAACATACTATATATGGTGCATGATGTACATTATATTTGATATGCTCAAGCAGTGTTTTTCACTGGACATTGGACAGAGGCTTGAGTTCACAGTTTGTATTGTTAGATTTTTTTTTAAATACAATATGCCTATGGTTAATTTATAGGAAAATTAAACTTTTATAGAAATATAATATTAACAATACAGGAAGTTAGGGGATAATGTCATGAAATTATCCATAGTCTCACCACACTATAACTTTTGTTTTCCATTAAAATGTTTTTCCTATGTATTTTAACACAGTTGTATTTATAATTTACATACACATTTTGTATCCAGCTTTTAAAATTTAGCAGTACATACTGAATAATTTTCCATGATGCTTACAGTTTAGGTAATGGGGATCGAGCCCACAATCCAGGCATGTGCCCTGAACTGGAATCAAACCCCGGACCCTTCAGTCCACAGGCCGATGCTTTATCCACTGAGCCAAACCGGCCAGGGGATTAGTGCCTTATATTTCTTAGAAAGTCGTTCTCACTTCTAGAAATGACTTTATTATTTTGAATGTAGGTGATCCTCCTATAATTAGATGTATTATAGGAACTAGATTTATTTTCTCCTGATATTGCTAACTAGATAACCTTTTTCCTCTTGGATCTTTCAGCATGAGACTTCCTCTAGGGAAGGCCTGCTGTGGTGGGTTCGTAGCCCTACATTTCTTCCTGCTTAGCTGCCACTAATACCATCTCACAAAGGCATTAGAGATGTAATGGGCTTCTATGGTAGGGTGCATAGAGATTACAATTGAGGTTGAAGGTCAGATTGAGTTCAAACCTATCTGTATCATTCACCAACACTGATCTTGAGCAAGCTGTTCAACTACTCTGTGCCTTGTTTTCTTGATTCTGAAGTGAGCATAATAGTGTATGTCACATAGGGTAATGTGATGATTACATGATCTAATATGAGGTACAAAGAGCAAGGCCTAGCACATAGTAAATTCTGTGTGCCCTGCAGCTTGGAGAATATATGACAGTCAGTATGTACAGTGCCCAAGGGATTGTGAATACTCAACAACATAACCCAAGTCATTAATTCAACAAATATTTATTGAGGACTTACTATATACCAATCACTCTGCTAGGTCTGGGAGGATACATTTGTGAACTGTTCTCATAGCTTATATTCTAGAGAGAATTTGACAAATGTAAATAAATCAATGATTTCAGATAATGGTAGGTGTTATAGGTTGAATTTTGTACCCCCAAAAGATGTTGAAGTCCTAATCCCAGCACCTGTGATGTGACCTTATTTGGAAATAGTGTCTTTGAAGATAATCAAGTTAATGAAGTCCTTACGGTGGGCCCTAACCCAACATGACTGGTGTTCTTATAAAAAGGGGTAATTTGGCCCTGGCCAGTATGACTTAGTTGGCTGAGTGACATTCTATGCACCAAGAGGTCACTGGTTTGATTCTTGGTCTGGACACATACAAGAATCAACCAATGAATGCATTAATAAGTGGAACAAAAAAATGGATATTCTCTCTCTAAAAATCAATTTTTAAAAAAAATTTAAAGGGTCAATTTAGACATAAAGATAGTCATATTATAAACAGAGGGATGACAGTTGGTTGGATGTACATAGAAAGGCTTCTGGTTCGATTCCATGACAGGGCACATACCTAGGTTGTGGGTTCAAGCCTGGATGAGGGTGCATTCAGGAAGCAACCGACCCATGTTTCTCTCACAAATGGATGTCTCTCTTCCCCCACCCTTCCCATCTCAATAGAACCAGTAAAACAACACGGGGGAGAATTAAAAAGAAAAAAGAGAAACAGATGTTAATGAGCAAGATGGGTAGTATGAGCTATGCCGTATGTAGTCTTGAAAAAATGAAAAAGTTTTGTTTTTTTTAAGTTGACAATCACATTTTATTTTTTTTATATTTTATTAATTTTTGTACATATACCAATGCCCCCCCCCCCCCCCGTACATACCCTTCCTCTCCAGAGTTTTGTGTCCATTGGCTGTACTTATATGCATGTATACAAGTCCTTCGGTTGATCTCTTATCTCCCCCAGATCTCCCCAACCTCCCCGCTGTAATTTCACAGTCTGCTTGTTGCGGAAAAGAGCTTTTTTTGAGTCTTAAAGTAGGGATGATAATTACATAGTTTAAAGAATAAACATTAACAGGTAGCTTATTTGACAATAGCTACTATGTATGTAGTGTCTGCCTTATGTCCAGGTACTGTGCTAGTTCTTTTAAATATATATGATTTCCAATACAACCCTACAGAATTACATATATTTATTTATTTATTTATTTAAAAAATATATTTTATTGATTTTGTACAGAGAGGAAGGGAGAGAGATAGCGAATTAGAAACATCGATGAGAGAGAGTCATCGATCCAGCTGCCTCTTGCACACCCCCTACTGGGGATGTGCCCGCAACCAAGGTATATGCCCTTTACTGGAATCGAACCCGGGACCCTTCAGTCCCCAAGCCAACGCTCTATCCACTTATTTATTAATATTGATTAAAATAAAACTTGACAGATGAGGGAATTGAGACTCAGCATTCCAGTAATTTTATCAAGACAGCACAATTAATAAAGAGCTGAGGTGGAATTTGAAGGCTTAATAGTGATTAAAATAAAACCCATGCTATTTTTTATCAGTAACTTGTTTTCTAATATTTATTACATTTTGTCATATTTTTTAAAAATATTTTTTATTGATTTTTTTATAGAACAAGAGAGAGGGACAGAGAGTCAGAAACATCATCAGCTGCCTCCTGCACACCCCCTACTGGGGATGTGCCTGCAACCAAGGTACATGCCCTTGACTGGAACCAAATCCGGGACTCTGAGCCAAACCAGTTTCAGCCATTTTGTCATATTTTCAGTTTACTTTCTGGTGTCTTTCCCCAGAATTAATCCCCATGAGATCAGAGAATTTGAGTTTACCTTTGATATCCCAGAACTGTGCTGTTCAATACAGGAGCCACTAGTCATTTGTGGCTATTCAGTACTGCAAATGTGGCTCCTCTTGTTGTGGGGTCGAACCCTGGGTTCAAAATAAGACCACCGGAGGCTGACGATTGATTTAGAAAAAGCAGGCAAGGATTTATTGAAAAACTGGCCAGGACGGCTGCGGGAGCACCACACGCAGGTGGGCCCCACGCGACTTGCACTGATCCAGATGTAGGCAATCCCTTTTGAAGCTTCAAACCACAGGAATTCCCCTTAGTTCTAAATTCTAAAGGCTGGGAACATTGGAATGTGGCCCTATCTTGCCCATAATACAAAAGCAGAACTCAGAGGTTAATCTCTAAAGGTTATCTATAGTTTCTACCCCTGAAGCTACTGAGTCCTTGGGAGTCAGTCTCCTGTAACTACCCTATTGTTTAAGCAAGTAAGGTCAAAGTCAAATAGCATGGTTAAAATTCAAACAGTTTTTACCCAAGTACGATTGCTACCATATTTCACTCTGAACTGAGATGTGCAGTGAGTGTAAAATTCATACTGGATTTTGAAGGCTCGGTATGAGAACAAAACATATGTGACCTTATTAATATTTTTAAATATTAGGTGTTTAAATAACATTTGGCGAAACGAGGTTAAATATATAATTAAAACGAATTTCACCAGTTTTTACTTTTAATGTGGCTACTAAAAGATTTTAACTTACACTAAGTGACTCCCATTCTATTTCTAGGCTCTGAGGCAGTGTTGTCCCAGAGCCTAGCCCAGTGTCCTGACTCATTTTATTTGCAGAAATAACCAGTGTTAACAGACAAACTGAAAAAGAAGAAAAAATAAAGGGTGAGTGGAGACATGATAGTTGCCTTCCACTAGGAAAATGGATACAGCACTGTCCTGGAAGTCAGGAGACCTGGGTTCTGTTCCAGGACTGACTGGCATCACTGTGTAGCTTCCCCCACCCTGGGAGTCAGTCTGCCCATCAGGCAGTGGCTCTCCAATGTCTGGGAGCGTATGAGTAAGTGATGGAGAAAGGTGAGGAAGCCTGGTACCACAGACCTCGTCCTCTGTTTGGCTCTCGCACAGCACCAGAGCTCCCCGGCCAACGAGAGGAAGCAGCAGGAACCATAGACTGGACCGCCAGCTTCCTTGGTCTGACGTCACTCAGGGTGCGACGCCGTCGCCGGTCTGTCCTCCAAAGTGCGGGGCTCCTTAGGTTCCTCCGGTGAAGGCGAGTGCCCACGAGCTAGCAGAGAGCCACACAGCTCCCGGGTCTCTCTGGGACTCGGTTCTCGGTTCACCAGCCCCCGCCACCCTCCCCGCTAACTCTCCTCTCACCCAGCCCTGGAACTCGGGAGGCACGAACCTGGAAGGAGAGGCGCGCACCAGACCTCAGTGCGGCTGCGCAAAGCACGCGCGCGTCCACGCCGGAGCCCCGGCGCTTGGCTGTGACGCAACTTCCGGCGTGAGCGGCGAAAGCCGGGAGGGCAAGCGATAGTGCAAGCAGGCATCCAGCAGCAGGCAGCAGGCGGGCGGGCGGGCAGGCGGCACCGAAGGAGGGAGCGAGCGAGCCAGTGAGCAGCCGGTGAGCCAGCGAGGGCAGCCACGCCCCGAGAGAAGCCGAATTGACTCCCGTCCCTCTGACCCCCTCCCCGGAGCCCACAGCGCCTCCGGTCTCCAGCGGAGCGAACACGGCCCTGCCCGGCCATGGCCTCGTTGCTGAAGGTGGATCAGGAAGTGAAGCTCAAGGTAGCGACACCGGTCAGGGCTCCCTTTCCCCTCGCTTCGATCTGGGAGCACTCTGACCGGCTCCCTACTCCCCATGGCGTCTTTGTCTCCCTGGGGACACCAGCTCTGAGCTTCCGCTCAGCCCAGCCCCCCCCTTCCCCATTCCCGGAGACCGCATCAAGGGAGAGAGGGTAATGTAGGGTGGCCTTCTGTGCCTTGTCTGGTGATGGAGAGCCCGCGGACACGTGGTGGATTCAGTGCTCGAGGTTCGTGACAGCTGGAAGTTCCCCAGCCCCGCCTCCGGACGCTGCCGCTGTCCTTGGAGTCAGGCCTGCCTCGTATCTCAGGTCTGAAAGGGAGCTGGCACGTTTGTGAGCTCACACCTCCCCTATCCGCCTGCTCACAAATTCAGACCGCCTCACACACAGGGAGGGAGAGAGGGAAGACAGGTGAGTGCTGCCCTCAAGCCCTGCTTCCCTCTCCTGAGATGGAGAAATGGGTCCTCAAAAAAATAAAGTACTTGCAGTCTGGGGGCCTCTCAGCTTCTCACTACAATCACAAGGTGAGGGAAAGACAGCGAAACTTGGGTTTCCCTATCCCGCCCTTACCTCTGTTGCCAGGTACTGATTTGCTCTTACTGAATTGCTCTTTGTTGGTTTTAGGTTGATTCTTTCAGGGAGCGGATCACAAGTGAGGTGAGTGAAATAAATAGCAAAACGAGAGTTGGTTAATACTTGGGAGTTTCCCAAAGGGGAGAGAACTGCTGAGAGATACCATCCCACGATTTTAACGCATTTCTTCTCACCTTTAGGCAGAAGACTTGGTGGCAAATTTTTTCCCAAAGAAGTTGTTAGAACTTGATAGTTTTTTGAAGGTGAGAGACCCTTTTCCTCAGATTTCCCAATTTTGGGGGGGCCCCCGATCTCTCCGTCAAATGGGACAAATCATGTGTTGGTTCCATTTTGTTTTGTACTGTAAAGCACTCTCCTGTCTTGCCCTTCACATGAAATATTTATTTGTTCATCTTGAAAAGACTAATGTTGGGGGGGTGGGCGTCTCTTTTTCAGGAACCAATTCTAAACATTCATGACCTAACTCAGATCCACTCAGACATGAATCTCCCTGTCCCTGACCCCATTCTTCTCACCAATAGCCACGATGGACTGGATGGTGTAAGTGTCCTATATTTATCTTTGTCTTCTGTAGCAATAGGTTCTCTGTCCTCTATTCCCTGGTCAGTGTGAACGTGTACAGAGGAGACAGTAGGATTTGGATCTGGGAATGGGGGCTCTTACAGACATGATGGCTCCGGTATACCCCCTTTAGATCCTGATTTCATTTACAGCATGAGGTGAACTTGCTAATGCTACTCTGGGTGAGAGTGAGTTTTAATAGCTGCAGGCTCCCTTGGGTTATCTGGTCTGACTCCATGGCTCTAAGCAAGACTTTTTCTTATCTGTTGCATGTTTCAATGTCTTGAGTCTTGTTATTGAATGAGTGAGTAGTCCTTCTTGATATATAACTGTAGTCCCTGTATTTGCTGTGCATCTTTATTACCTAGTCCTCATCAATTAATGTTCGCATTCTATAACACTGATGACACTGCATTATTCTTTGTCTGCCTTATTGTCTCCTTGTTAGAACTTGTTAGTTCTGGAAAGCAGAAACTGTCTTAATCATCTTTGTATTCCCAGCACCTAGCATTGTTTCTGGTACATAACAGGTGCTAAGTATGTGTTTGTTGATTGAATATTGTTTTTCTTTGTGGAACCAGCAGATTTATATATTTTCCCTTAATTATCTTTACCTTCCACTGAAAGGTTCTTTTTTCCTATTGTTTATAGTGGCCAGTTTCAACTGATGTACTGTAAGAATTTTTTAAACATGCAATTTCTGACTCTTTAGTCAGGAGCACTGACCTTTTTTCAATTGACTGGCAAATTGAAAAAAATGACACAGCCAACACAACAATGGCATCTAGTGTGAATGAATCAAAATTATGCCTTGTTTTGGGTCAGATAGGCAAAAAATATATTTTTGGTGTGCCACAGAATTTTAGTAATTGGTTTTTGTGTGCCAGGAGAGGGAAAAGATTGAAAATTGCTGGCTATCCCTCTCGTTGCTTAATGTGTTATATTTCTTGAAAGGTTGGTCTTACAATTAGAGAACGTTTTCTTAAAGCCTTTTATGTACTTAGTAACTTGCATAAATTAATAAGAGGAGAGGCCCAGTGCGCCCTCTGAGTCTGGGAGCCCTCGGGCTATGTCCTCTTGGGCCTAAGCGGGGCCTAACTCGAAGCTGTCAGTCGGACAGCCTTAGCTCTGCACTCGCTAGCCGTGAGCCCAGCTTCTGGCTGAGCAGCACTCTCCCTATGAGAGCTTCCTGAGGCAACTCCTGCATTGAGAGTCTTCCCCCTGGTGGTCACTGTGTGTCATAGCGGCCAGTCCTTCCCCATTCGGTCGATTTGCATATTAGCCTTTTATTATATAGGATAGGATAACCTATGGTGTCAAAGTAGGGATTAAACTTGCTTAAAATATAACTTGTGATAGGGATGTGAATGTGGAGAGTAGGCTAACTTCTGTCTGTCTCCTCAGCCCACTTACAAGAAGCGAAGGTTGGATGAGTGTGAAGAGGCCTTTCAAGGTAAGAGCTGCCCCACCCCTCCACCCTGGCTTACAGCCTTAGAAGCAGATGGGGCATGTGTTCTGGCCTGAAAGCAGGGTCTGACTTTATTTCCCAGAGTTAACATTCTCAGATCTTCCCTCTGTGGCATTATTTAGCACCCTGAACCTGATTTTCCAATAAAAAGGGAGGGTTTAACTTAGTGAAAACCGGCCAGAGGAAAGGACTTGGGGGTTACTACCTATTGCAGATTTTTCACAGAAGTCCCAGTTCCATGTTATTTTTTTTCCTCTTTAACAATAGTTGGTACATTAAGTCTTTAGAGTAGGGGTGTTGAACTCAATCAGAGAAGGGGCCAAAATCTAAAATCCAGCCTAAATCGCGGGCCGAATGGTTTACTGAACAGTCATAAACTGTCATTGTGATGGAAACGCAGCGGAGTGCAGTGATGACAGCGCGGTGCGAGCCACATTGCAAGGCCTGGCGGGACGGATTTGGCCCGCGGGCCTTGAGTTTGACACATGTGCTTTAGAGCATATTTTAACTTCCTTACCCTTTAGACTTTGGGCATATTTTAGATGCTCATTTATTTGTTAATCCATATGTTCTCTTTGGTTCTGTTGGTGGTATCAGTGTTCGTTGTGACAGATAAAAGGCAGAGGTCATAGCATTTCATGAATCGGGGGAAGAAGAGGGACGGGTGGAGGATTCTATATCCTGGCCCCCACCCTGATCATTTGGCCTTCTTCATGTCCTTGCCAGGAACCAAGGTGTTTGTGATGCCCAATGGGATGCTAAAAAGCAACCAGCAGCTGGTGGACATTATTGAGAAAGTGAAGCCTGAGATCCGGCTGCTGATTGAGAAATGCAACACGGTGAGGCAGGGGCTAGTGACCGGTGGGCTGACTTCCACCAGCCTGGCTTGACCTATGAAAAATCATGGATGGTGGGGCTGGAGGCATGGAGGTGATATGGGTGTTGGCAGACTAAGTATCTTGGCTCCTGTGCTCCTGGCACCTGGCCCCAGCAGCATGAATTGTATTCTTCATGGCATCACTAGAAAAAGCCATGTTCCTCAAGCCTTGGTCCTCATATATATATTTTGGTCTTTTTGCCCCGCAGGTCAAAATGTGGGTACAGCTCCTGATTCCTAGGATAGAAGATGGGAACAACTTCGGGGTATCTATTCAGGTAATTACATTACTGGAAGGGAAGGTTGGAGAGAGACTCATCTCCCCTGCTTTGTTTTTCCTTTCTCTTTGGTTCCTGGTGGAGTAATGTGGAAGTGACATTGACTCACCATGTTTGTTTGTTTGTTGTTTTTCAGGAGGAGACAGTTGCAGAACTAAGGACTGTTGAGAGTGAAGCTGCATCGTATCTGGACCAGATTTCTAGGTAGGCCTTCTTGGGCTTGGCCCAGAAATTGGGGGCTGGTGAGGTGGTAAGCACTGTCCAGGGTCTCCTGCAGCTTCCTCTTCTTTTTTCTCCTTCCAGATATTATATTACAAGAGCCAAATTGGTTTCTAAAATAGCTAAATATCCCCATGTGGTAAGTAAGGGTTTTGTGGCCTGAGGGTGGAAGTGGTAGGGGAGGGAGGAGTGACTGTTGCGGGGAAAGAGCTGACTGTGGATAGCTCGGCCTTGGGAACGAGCCTTTTCTCCGCCCCTTTCAGGAGGACTATCGCCGAACCGTCACAGAGATTGACGAGAAAGAATATATCAGCCTCCGTCTCATCATATCAGAACTAAGGAATCAGTATGTAAGTAACCTCGATCCCTGCCAACTGTTGCCCTAGCTTTTCTTAGTTCTGGTGGTAAATTTCTTGCCACTCTCTGTGGGTTGAGAGCGGGTACGGAGGTAAAGTTGACAGAACGAATTCTGCTTATCAACCAAGTGTCGAGAACTATGGAGTTGAGGGCATATAGCTGGGCATCTTCCTTCTTTCCACCTGCTATATGGTACAGAGGTGAAGATGAAGTTGTTAGTCAGACATATTTAGGTTTGGAACCAGCTCACCTGTAGTGTGTGACCTTGGGAAGTTGTTTAACCTCAGACTTCAAGGTTTCTTCATCTCTAAAATGAAACTTACATTAGCATATCTACTGCACAAAGATGGTTTAAAAAAAACTTAGCGAGATTGCTGAAATCAGTTTGACTCTGTGGATAGAGCTTCGGTCTGCGGACTGAAAGGTCCCAGGTTCGATTCCGGTCAAGGGCACATACATTGGTTGCAGGCACATTCCCAGTATGGGGTGTGCAGGAGGCAGCTGGTCGTTGGTTCTCTCTCATCGATGTTTCTAGCTCTCTATCCCTCTCCCTTCCTCTCTGTGAAAAATCAATAAAATATATTTTAAAAAATTGGCGAGATGATGCATTAAAGGACCCCGTGCACTTCTTGTTAAGTGTTCAACAAATGGCAGTTGTTATCAGACACTCAGGACCTTGGAAATGCCAGGGATACCTAGTTTGGGGGAGAAGAGAGGTGGAGCATCCACCTTGACTTCAGGTTCAAATGAGTGAGAAGGGGGTTATGTAAATGATTACTTGGGTAATTGGTTGGGAGGGATCTTTTCTCCTCGAGGTGGAGGTAGAATAGAGGTGTGATTCTCCGATCTCTCCTCTCCCAGGTCACCCTACATGACATGATCCTGAAAAATATTGAGAAGATCAAACGGCCCCGGAGCAGCAATGCAGAGACACTGTACTGAGGCCGGGGCCAGGGCCAGGGGACTCTGTGAGTCTGGCTCAAGACCGACATTGCCTTGGTTTGTTACATGACTATCGTGACGGGGAAACTGGCTGGAAATAGTAATCACACCTCTCTGTTTTTAGTTAGAGTCTAATGAAACTCTCATGTAGTTCTGTGACGTGTTTACCTCTTTTTTCAGGCCTCAGGAGCTCTTCCCTTTCCTTCCCTCACACCCCACACCTGAGCTGTTCTAATTTCTGGGGAACTCCAGGTTTGTGTGCGCAAGATGTTGGCACCAGAATACTTGTGTTTCTTTCCCCACCCCCTTCTTTGTCTTGGGCTTTGTGTTCTCCTTTTGATGATTAGTTTGTTAGGAGCTGAGGGAGCTAAAAGGAAAGTGCTAGGTTTTTGTTTTTTCTAAGATCTGGGGTCAGGGAGACTAGCTCCTCTTCTGATATAAGGCTAGTGTCTCTTGCCAGTGTGGGATATTGGATCCTCCCTGTCCCAGTTGTCTTGGTGATGACTTCAGGTTTTCCATCTACATACATGACAAGAAGCACCATAGACCTTGGCTAAGTCCCTAAGTCCTTCAGATGTTTTTATAAGTAGAATTTTCACATACACATATGTGCGTGATTGACACACACACACACAGACATGCACACATCTGCCTTCCTACTCTGTTACCTGACACTCCCCCGCCCTCCCCCATAAACCCTGTTACACACACTGTTCAGGAGGTGACAGTTGTCTCAGTCATCATCCACCGGCACCCATCGTCTCCTGATATTGTAGCCTCTTCGTGCCCACAGGCTATTAAGTTGGAGGAGGACCAAGAGGCGAGAAGCAGAGGGATTGGGGGAAAGCTCCTTTCTCTGTGACTCAGGTCCTTTTGGGCATTATTGCAAAGGCCAGTCCTCTGCCTCCTGACTGCCTCTTTCCACACAAGTTGTAATTGGGGGTGGGAGTGTCTTTAGCTGTGAGCACCAGCTGCTGCTGCTCCTCCTGGGCTTTTCCTTTGGGAAAAATATTCCTTATTTATAGTATTGTGCTTCCAGGGAAAGCAGTCACTTATGTGTATATGTGTGTGCACGCAAACACAGGCGAGTACACGTGTGTATGTGGAAATCCGCTGCGCAAGTCAAAACCATAGAAGAGTTCCCCCCTATCTCTCGAAGCTTCAAGAGATATCCCCCACTTTTTTATTCTGTCACTACTGGAGAGTCAGTATTTGCAGCCGCCAGCCAGTGACTCTCTCAGTGTCTGTTTCTGACTTATTCTTCCCCTGTCTGTCTTCCAACCCCTAATCATATTTCCACCTGGATGCATCATTTTTACTCCCATATGCTCTATAGAGAAGGAGTCAGGATGCTGTCTTCCCACGAATAGTATTCAGTAACAAACCAATTGCATTTTAGTTGGGCAATGCCCCTCCCCACCCTTCAGATCCCTTCCACCATGCATTTCTGTTTCCCCTTTTGTTTGTTGGATTGTTCTGCCCCTTCTCACCCCACCACCCTTGGATCGTAATGTAAAATTCTTTTACCATGTCAAGAAATTATTAAAAAGACAGGTACTTCGACCTCTTTCTAAAGCTGCAGACCCTGGTGAGATTCTCTGGTGGCTAGAGACATACCCATACTCATATGCGTGCGCATTGGGATACCCACCTCCACATACACCACCAGTCATCCTAGTCGGTGTTTTTATACCAATTATGCTTCCTCGTTTTTTCTGGAATAATGGAAAGATTGAGGTTTCTGCCTACCAAGAGGCAAGGGTGGGTCCTTCATTTGTATTAAGCCTGAATTATGTGAAAGAGAGAGAGCACTTCCCAAATCTAAGCTGCCTTCTGTCTCTACCCTCAACAAGATCCCAGTTCCTTCCTTCCTTCCCCAGTGATACCCATGAACTGCCAGTAGAGGCTGCTCTAGTTCCATGTGGGAATCACCTGGTTCAAGGCGCACCCTACCGTGTCATTCTTGTTACCTTATACTAATTCTCCCCTCAGAATAATGTCTTAAATTTCTTAAGGAGATGCCAGGTTTTGGTTTTCAAATGACTTGGAGGGCTGGCTGTCTAGGACTCTACCTCCCTCTGAAATAAAGTTTCCTCAACTTTCACCTTGTAACGTAGCCTTCTGGTATCCAATGATTCCCTCGTTGTCTCTGCAAAAAGAGATTTAAGGTCCTAAACAATGGAGGAACATCTGCTCTGTTCTGTTTCAGAAATAATCAGTAGGTAACACTTTTTGAATGCCTACCCTGTGTTAGGCTCTGCTCAGCACTTTATATGCATGATCACATTTAGTCTTCGTGTGTTTTACCCATTTATAGGTGAGGACATTGATTCATGATAGGTACCTTCCCTGAGGTCACAGCATAGGGACCTGGAAACCTGACTGCTAAGCTCAGGCCTTCACCACTCTTTCCTTTCTCACTGACTAGATAGAAGAGGTCTAAGACTACGGATCAGGCGCTTAACCTTAGGCAACTGGCCGAGCACAGTGCCTACTGCTGACCTAGGCAGTAGGTCCTGGAAATATTGGGGCATAGTGCCTGCCAGGAGGGTGGAAAATGGACGGTTTTGGTGCCTGCATTCAGCACACAGGACTTGATTGGGCATCTGAGATTTGCATTCTTCCTCAGACCCATTTTGAGTGGAAGGTGCAGTTCAGTGGTACTTCAAATGCCCTCTAATCTGGTCTAAATGATGGAAATCCAGCTGCCAATACTTCAGGGGCAGGGGAGATGCTATGACATGGAAGTAGTGCTTTGGGCCAAACCACAGAACAGAAAATTGGAACAGGATTATATAAATCAAGGTCAGAAATTTCCTGTTCAACCCACAGGGTGGAGTTTTCTCCATTCCTATCCATCCTACTGAATATAAACCCTGATTTGATGTCAGTAACTGGAAGCAGCAGCTGCTAGGACTCTCGTTTCAACTCTCGGCACTCACCATGAATGTCAAGGTAGTCCTCGTGTTCCTGGCACTATCCCTCATTACCATCTTTGCCCTGGCCTATGTCTTGCTGTCCAGCCAAGGGGGTTCCAGCCAACCTCCCCACTGCCCCTCTGTATCCCACGCCCAGCACTGGACACACCCTGGCCAGAGCCAGCTGTTTGCAGACCTGAGCCCAGAAGAGCTGATGGCTGTGATGAGCTTTCTGACCCAGAAGCTGGGGCCAGGCCTGGTGGATGCAGCCCAGGCCCTCCCATCAGACAACTGTGTCTTCTCTGTGGAGCTGCAGCTGCCCCCCAAGGCTGCAGCCCTGGCTCACCTGGACGGGGGGAGCCCCCCGCCCGCCCGGGAGGCACTGGCCATCGTCTTCTTTGGCGGACAGCCCCAGCCCAACGTGAGTGAGCTGGTGGTGGGACCACTGCCCCACCCCACCTACCTGCGGGATGTGACTGTGGAGCGCCATGGGGGCCCCCTGCCCTATCACCGACGCCCCATGCTGAGAACTGAGCTTGCCCAGATGTGGAAGCACGTGAAAGAGGTGGAGTTGCCCAAGGCACCGGTCTTCCTTGCTTCGGTCTTCAACTACAACGGCTCCACCTTGGCCCCTGTGCAGGCCACTCCTAGCGGCTTGCGCTCAGGAGACCGTGCTACCTGGCTAGCCCTCCACCATAACGTCTCAGGTGTTGGGATTTTCCTACACCCAGTGGGGCTGGAGCTACTGCTGGACCACAGGGCCCTGGACCCTGCTCGCTGGGCTGTCCAGCAGGTCTTCTACCTTGGACGCTACTATGCAGACTTGAGCCAGTTGGAACGGGAGTTTAAGGCTGGCCGGCTGGAGGTAGTTAGAGTTCCTCTGCCCCTGCCAAATGGGGCTTCATCCCTGAGGTCTCGGGTCCCCCCAGGTCCTCTTCCACCGCTTCAGTTCTCACCCCAGGGCCCCCAATACAGTGTCCAAGGGAACCTGGTGGTGTCCTCCCTCTGGACATTTACTTTTGGTCATGGGGTGTTTAGTGGCATGAGGATTTTTGACATCCGGTTCCGGGGTGAGCGAGTGGCCTATGAAGTCAGTGTCCAGGAGTGTGTGTCTGTCTATGGTGCTGATTCACCCAAGACAATGATGACCCGATACTTGGATAGCGGCTACGGACTTGGCCGAAACAGCCGGGGCTTGGTGCGGGGCGTGGACTGCCCCTATCAGTCTACAATGGTGGATATCCATGTATTCATGGGCAAAGGGGCTGTCCAGCTGCTCCCAGGGGCTGTGTGTGTATTTGAGGAGGCCCAAGGACTGCCCCTTCGAAGGCACTACAATCACGTTCAGAGTCATTTCTACGGTGGTTTGGCCAGCTCAGCTGTTGTAGTCAGGTCTGTGTCATCTGTAGGCAACTATGACTACATCTGGGACTTTGTATTTTACCCAAATGGGGCGCTTGAAGGGCGGGTCCATGCCACAGGCTTTGTCAACACAGCTTTCCTGAGTGGGGGAGAGGGAAGCCTCCTCTTTGGGAACCGTGTGGGGGAACGAGTGCTGGGGACGGTGCACACGCATGCCTTCCACTTCAAGCTGGACCTGGATGTGGCAGGTGAGTGCTCGGGGAATTAAGATGGAGAGTTGGGATGGGGCAGAGGGAACAGAGACTCCTCACCCCCAGATTAAGCCTGAAGAGTAGAGGAGCAGACCAGCTCCACAATTCATTGTGGCAACAAGGCACAGACTGATTTAAGTGTATTCCGCTGCAGTCGGTCTGAAATACTGGGCTTACTGAGCCTGGCAGAGGGGTAGGGAAGGGGGATCAGCCAGCCCCTCTGACTTGCCGCCATTGTGAAATTAGTTTAATGTAAAGGCTGCGCCTGTCTACCTTAACCTCAGGTGACTGTGCATGGTGAATTGGCCCTAAGGCTGAATGGGACTAGAGTTGGGGCTCTTTGTTCTTCCTAATTCTGAGTCAGTGGAGGAGGGGAAAGCAGGGACCTGAGCAGAGGTAGGAAGCAGTCCGTCTCAGGTTTTCAGAGAGTGGTTTGGGGGCACGAGAGGGAGGTACTAGATGGGAGCTGCTCCACAGGATTTCAGACAAATGGGGATATAGGATAGTGGCCCCATCCTTCTGAGGAGCGGGGGGGTCCCATTCCTGTCAGCACATGGCATCACAATGGGCCCTCTGGTGGCATGGCCAGCACATAGTAGGCTTGCTGCAAGTGTAGAAAGGAAATTCTCGAGTAGGGCTCAGGGCACAAAGAGGACTTGCTGCTCCTGACACGTTTTGTCAGGGACAGAAAATAACCAACGTATCAAATCAGACAATTAGACCCAGAAAGAAAATTAGAAATCCACCAGACCCTCTCCATATTATAGGTAGGGAAGTTGAGGGTGGGGGGAGATGAGACAGAAAATGGTTATCCAAGTATAATGTGCTATAACTAAGGATATTTCTTGTGAAACATTTTCTTGTTCTCCTGGGTATAAAGACATGACTGTGTGTGTGTGTGGATGTGTGTGTGTGTGGTGTGCCTATGGGGGTTATGTGGAGGCAGAGGGGAGGAAGAACTAAGAAAATAGCATGGTTGAAATGGCATATTAACAATTCTTTGACATATTTAGAATATGACTTTTCTGATTTGAAAATCTCTCCAGCATTTTGGTATCAGAGAGCCTTGTCAGGAAGTAAAATCAAATAACATTTTTTGGGTACCTGGTGGGTACAGCACAGGTTGGTGCTGTGGGCTGGAGGCTGTGCCAGGCCCCCTATGCACAGGAGACCAGCAGAGGCACCGGCTTTAGTAGAGTGCCCCTGAGCCAGCTGTCTTCACAGTTACTTTCCTGTTTTAAAGTGAGTCCAAGTTTCTGATCAGGTGCCGAGTGGAGTGATGAGTTCAGGTTATCAATAGAGTTCCAAGGAGTTCTCAGACAATTTAAGGACATAAATCTATTCACTTCTGAAAAACAGTGAAAGCAAATTCTCAGAGCGGAGAAGGGTGTGCAGGGCACCATGGAAGGGGATTGGGTTTTTCCAGGCAGCTTCTCCAAGACAAATGTCCCTTTCACAGTTACTAGCCACCTGCGTGTGTTTTTCCATTTACAGAGCTCAACCATAGAACAGCTTTAATTATGTCCGGTGTAGAGATTCGGAAAATGAAAGAAGCAAATAATTTGTCCAAGGGTAGACCAGTGCTACCAGAACTTTCCGCAGTAATGGAAATGTTCTATATCTGCATTGTCCAATACATTAGCCACTGGCCACATGTGGCTGTGGAGCACTTGCAATGTGGCTAGTGTGACTGAGGAGCTGACTTTTTAATTTAAATGCAAACAGCCACTTGTGACTGGAAGTAACTGTACTGGCAGGGCAGCATTGAAGGAGATGGGCTGGCTCCCAAATCTAGAGCTTCTGGCCCCCAGCATGGAGTGCTCTCTGGTGAGTTCTGCTGCCCTCTGCCGGGACACTGCAGTGTTATTGGTGGGGGCGATGAGGAGCCTGTCTTACCTGGTATGGACCTCCTCTCCCTCCCCTCCCCCTGGCAGGGCTGAAAAACTGGGTGGTAGCTGAAGACGTGGTGTTTAAACCTGTGGCAGCCCCTTGGAGTCCAGAGCACCAACTTCAGCGTCCACAGCTGACTCGCCAGGTCCTGGGA